AGTGGACTTCGCGGAAGAACGAAAGGTCATCGTCACCGCGGAGGCGCCTCATGAACATCTGGTCGCTACCCTAGCAAGTGGGGGCGCCGCTGACGGATGGATGGCGCCAATTGTACTGTTTCTTACCTAAGGCGTGGTGCCTGATGACCCAAAGGAAGCCTGGCGCCTCCGCCGAAAGGTGACCCGATGTTCCATAATATCGGGGAAGTTGTACAAAAGATCCCATACGGGAGCATACTTGAGGTGTCTGGACGAAGAGGAAAGCAGGGGGGCAATCGAGGAAGTGCATGGTGGAACGTGCGGCATGCACGCGGGCGCACGAAGCCTGGAAAAAACGCTACTGCGACAGGGGTTTTACTGGCCAACAATGAGACGAGATGCAAAGGCGCACGTGGGCGCCTGCCACCAGTGCCAAATTCATGCAAATGACATTCATATCCCGGCGGCGCCCATGCAAGGCAACGTAGGAGCCTGGCCATTTGCCCAGTGGGGCATGGATCTATTGGGCCTTTTTCCCAAGGCGCCCGGACAGATGAAATACTTGATAGTGGCGGTTGACTACTTCTCCAAATGGATAGAGGCGGAACCTTTAGCCACGGTCAGAGAAGCCCAGGTGCGCAAGTTCACCAGGAAGAATATATTCACTCGGTTCGGCTTGCCTGAGTCCATCATCACAGATCATGGAAAGCAGTTCGATTGCAAGAAGTTTGTGGAGTTCTGTGACGACAACGGGGTGGTGTTGAGATTCTCTTCGGTGGCCTACCCACAAGCAAACGGTCAAGCGAAGGCGGCCAACAAAAGTATTCTTCATGGCTTGCACACCCGGTTGGCGGGCGCCAAGGGTAAATGGGTGGAGGAGCTGCCAAGCGTGTTGTGGGTGCATCGCACGACCTACAAAACTGCCACAGGAGAAACACCCTTTGCCTTGACCTACGAAAGCGAGGCAGTCATTCCCGTGGAAGTCAACACCCCAAGTTACCGCGTTGTCCAGTACGATCGAAGCGGCAATGACGAGGCACGGTCCAATGACCTAGACATGGCGAACGAAGTGAGGAAGGTGGCAGCAATCCGCCTGGAAAAAATGAAGAGGCAGGTGGCCCGATACTACGACAAGAAGATGCGTGCCCATGGAATCATCAAGGGCGCCCTAGTTCTCAAACGTGATTTTCGCCCGGATGCCGCGAGGGGAAGTTAGCACCAAAGTGGAATGGCCCATATCGAGTCCGAGATGTGGTAGGACCCAGTACGTTCAAGTTAGAGCACACGGACGGCCGAGTGGTGAAAAGGACATGGAACGCTCAAAACTTGCGGCTTTACTGTACGAGCGCCACACCAAGTGGGGGCGCCTCAAGTTGACAAGGACTGGAAAGGGGAAAACGCGGTCATAGTTGAAAGTGTTCGTGTATGTCAAAGACAAGTGTGTAGGTGTGTTTGTATTGTGACTAAAACGCCCGTAAAATAGCGTCGTATTGTGTCCAAAGCGCCCGGTTTTCTAGCGCCCCAATAGTGACTTCGTGTTTGTTCCCGCCATCTCGTATGACCCAAAAGCGCCCAAATTTTGCGCCCAGTAATTTCAAGTTAGTTAAAGCGCCCCATTTCGCGCCCATTAATTGCAAAAGCGCCCCAATATCGCGCCCTAAGTCGGAGCAATAACGTGCCCAAATTTGCGCCATCAAAGTTAAAACAAATTCGCGCGCAACTTTGCGCCCCGCGGCTACAAGGCGCCCTCATCTTTTGCGCCATAAGAAAGGATCAACGATAAGTAAAATCAATTAACACCAAGATAAGATTCCATCACCAGCGGAAACCTTTTTATAAACATAAAAAAAAAGTTCTGATTCAAGCAGCGCCCATTCTCTACTCCGCTCCAGAATTGGCGTCTTCAGCACTGGGCGCCTTCGGAGAGGGCGAAGTTGGAACAGAAGGATCGGGCGCCCCTCCCGTTCCCCGAGGAGTCTCCAGCCCCCCGATCACATACTCGGCCATCTTAAAAAAATACCTAAACAAGTTGAACGTGGGCGCCACGTTGTGCTCCCGACACCTCAACTTGAATAAAATAACGATGGTGATGACCGAGGGGGACAGGCGCCCCAATGGGCAGCCGCACATAGTCAGAATCCCTTCCATGATGTGATCGAGGGGAAAACGCAGCCCGAACCGGAAGTACTCCTGGTATACCCCGATCCACTTCGGCCCGCAGACGCCCACTCGCGAAATAGCGAACGGGGGCGCGTACCACCAGTCACGTGGCAGTTGAAGACTGGTAACCAGCTCGTGGACGCGCGCCAAAGTGACGGTTGACTCATGCTTCGGCCCGACCACGTCGAAGGGCAAATGAGCCGTCTCCACCGGTAGATGGCCAGGAGGGAAGGACTTCTCCCACGTTGTGATCTTGTAAGACCCATCCGCAGGCAGAAAACCGGGAGTTGAGGCGCTTGATGGACCAGCAGATATCGAAGCAGGCGCCCCCTCTAAACCAACAAACGACCCAGGCGCAACGTGAACGCGGAGTAAGTGACGCCCTACCCTAGATAACTAGAATGAATTCAACAAAAACCAACGAGGGAAAGAAAATTCCTAACCGCCTTGGGCCGGACGCCTTGCCTCACCGCCTGCGCCCGAGGCGCCTGCGCCCGAAGCGCCCGCACCAGTCGCACCAACGCCCGAGGCACCTTGGCCGGAAGTCTTGTCTTGTTGCGGCGACATTTCTGGCTGACGAAAGCAAGAGTAACGATGGCAGAGAGTGACAGGAGAGAGGTCAGAGCAGAATTTAGAGAGAAGTCAGAGCGAAATCTTAGAGAGAGATCGAGTTGTGGAAAGTGACAAGAACTGAGGGGGGAGGGGGTATTTAAAGGAAGCGAAAATCCACGTCAGGGCTCGCGCCGACGCCCCACGTGTCAATATCACGGGCGGACTTTTGAGCTTCCCCCCACCTTTTTTCTTTTTTGAAATTTCCAAAATTCCAATTTCGAATTTTTTAAATTCGAAATTTCGAATTTTCCTGACCAACAAAACGTGGGACTCATGTCAAAATCCCCCCGTGAGGGGGGCATAAGGGCTAGGGACACCTCTCACGGAGAACTCCACGAAGGGCGCTCAGGAATCACGAAGAGGAAGCACACGAAACAAGGAGCATCAACAAAGGCGGGGCGCCCGCCAGCGAAGGAGGGTCGATAAAGGCGCCCACAAACCATGAAGAGAATAAAAATACAATATAGGGCGCCGTGAAAAGCGGGCGTCTACAAGCAAAGAGGATACAAGGCCGCGGTAGGAGAATCAGTCAGGCGCTCAAAGGTGAAGCCATGAGCAACTAACTGGGGGGGCAATTGTTGGGGGGTACTACCCAGCAATTAGTGGTCTGGGCCCCCAAACGTAGAATTGGGGGGCAAGGCCCAAAAATGGTTCCACTAAATACTACTAGGCCCAAGCAAGAGGAAGGGCACAAAAGGACAAAACACTAAAAGCCAAGGAGAGACAAGCTGTCAGGTGGTCCACTGCCTGCGGGTGCCTGTCGCGCGTAAGAAGCCTGACAAGGCAGTTGGATGTCTGACAAAGAGGGCACAAAGCATTAAATTGGGACAGTGACGTGGAGGAGATCAACCTCGAGTTCGGTGAGTATAAATAGTGGCAGTTGGCAGCATTTACACAGGTTGGACTCTCTCACCAAAATTCCTACTTCGGGACACTTCCCTCTCTAAGGAACTGACTTGGGCGTCGGAGGATTAACGGGCCCAGACGCCCTCCTCTTTGTGTGTGTAGGCAGGCGCCAGGCGAAATGAAACTACCAGCGGGTATTGTGGCACAAACATTTGCCATAATTTATTACCTTCTTTTTGTACATATCTTATGCATATGATATGGTGGAGTACCTTTACTAAGTTGTCTCTCTCGTAATTTCTTCTATATTTTTCCTTTGACCAATAGTCATAGAAGTTTATTTCTAAGTGTCATTAATTATTTAATAATGATCCATTTGTCTAAATTTTTTTGCTTAGAGAAACGAAAATTTAAGGTTGTTTTGATATTCCAATGCAATACATTTCGGCCAATGGCTGGGTACCAAGCTAGTAAGTGTAGTAACCATAGAATTAGCGATGGCAACAAAACCCGAACCCACGGGTACCCACACGACCCAACCCGAACCCACGGGTACCCATACGACCCAACCCGGTCAACGCGGGTAAAATCCGTGTTGACGGGTTTTGGGCCGGGTTTGGGTTTAAACCCGTTCACTATTCACCGGGTTGGGTTGGGTTTGGGTTTAGGTAAACCCGGCCCGTGGGTACCCGCCCACTCATATAATTAATTTTTTCGGTATATTTAATATTCTAAACAACTATTCTTATTTATTTTTGTGGAGACATGTCTAATTTTTTCTTTTTAATTGTGTACAATGAAGTTGATGTTATGGAGTGGAGACTAAAGAAACTTAATTGAAAGAAAGAAGCTTTCAATTAAACATGTTATTTATGGATAATTTGTGATTTGCTTCAATTTTCTTGAGTTTTCTAGATTGGTGTTGAACAATTTGTATAGTTAATTTGTGATTTGCTTGAATTTTCTAGAATAGTGTTTTATATATGGATAATTTGTATTGAGAGATTGTTATTTGACTTTAATTTTGATAAGAACTTGTAATTGTAAATTTTTTACCACAAAACCCGTGGGTACCCATGAACCCGCGGATACCCAACGGGTTGGGTTGGGTTTGAGTTTTTCAAACCCGGTGGGTTTTACCCCGGACTTTTTTCAAAGATAAACCCATGGATTTGGATTTGGGTTTGTCAAAACCCGACCCAACCCGACCCATTGCCATCCCTACATAGAATGAAGAAAAGGTGAGGAAAGGATTGAACGGTAAAAGGAAATTCTAAACCTTAGAACCAGATAAAACTGGAAACGAAAAAGAAAACTCATTTCCCTGTCTGACACCTCGCTGACTTGGACTTTTCATAGAAAAGATACCAAGGCTTCTCGTCTTCCCCGTAAACAAAGGAATAAAGAATATGGGGCCATGGTAAGAAAACCGTTGTGAACTGCAACTCTCTATGCTTAGCTAGCCTGCCATCCAGTCTCTTCGATTCTCCCATCTCACCGTTCCCATTTCTCTTCAATTAATGACCAAGCTAGAGAAAGGAGAAGAAAAAGGTGGAAGGGAGGAAATCAGTGGTGGCAGAAGAAGGAAGCAGTAGCCTTCTGCTCTCTTTCCCAGTACGAAGTCGATCTTCCAAATTCCCAGGATCACAAATTCAACTTCTTCTCGAACTAAGAGAAGATTTCCCTGCTTTATCTGATGATGTCGCCCCAAAGCTGACAACTTTTCTCCTCCAGCAATTTGTAAATTGAATTTATCGCGGCCCCCGAAAATGGCGAAGAGGATGATGCGCAGGGTAGCAGGGATGAACATTGAACAAGTTGCGGAGGTCTTCAATGCTCTTTATGAAGAGAAGAAGCCCTTTTCCCCGTTTTTGATCCCTTTGCTGTTGTTTCTTTGGTGCATTGAGAGGTGGGTTTTCGCTCTGTCCAATTGGGTTCCTCTTGGTGTTGCGGTTTGGGCTCTTCTGCAGGTTAAAGTCCCTTCCTTTTTCACCTGTTTAGTCTTGTTTCAATCTGCTCTTGGTTTCCCAGTTTTGATCCTGATCTCACTGTGTATGGCATTAATTTTGGTGTTTGATGGAGCTATACTTCTTAATTGCTCTGCTAATCCTGGCGTTTCTAAAAGAAGGAAATGATTTGATTGATCCGGGTAGAAAATAGGATTTGGCATATCTAATGGCGTTTCTTTCTTTGGAGTTGGATCGATTTCTTGGCTAACGCTTTCATAGTGTAGAATTGTCCTGTTTCTTGTCGTTGACTTTGGTTTGAGTAGATAGTTTATTGACTGCTTTAGAAAGAAGCATTGTATGCTGCAGCTTTTCTTTAGCTATGTTTGTTGTGATCTGTGGGTTCTCTTTCTCATAAATCAGTGGCAATATGGCAATTTTTGTTTCAGTGTTCCAAAAGGAAAAATATATATGATTGCTATTGCTTTGAATTGCAGTATTCGAATCATCAGAAAAGAATGCTTGTGGAAGATCTGAACAGAAAGTGGAAGCGAGTTATATTAAGAACATCGGTACTTTTGCTCACATTCTTACCTTCAGTTAAAAGCTAAGTCTTATAAAGTGTGATTTTCAGTTGTAGTCAAGGTGGTAAATTATTCATATCGTTTCAATTTCCATTCAGGCAACAACTGCTGTAGAACACTGTGAGTGGCTGAACAAGATGTTGCTGGAAATTTGGCTGAATTATTTCAACCCAAGGCTTTCGACAAGGTTCTCGAACATAGTGGAGGTTGGATTTCTTTTCTATCTTGTTACTAACATACTGATGAACTGAAGTTGGATACCATAGTTATCTTAAATCTTCCTCTGTAGCCTTTCTGCTTGTCAGTATCTATTGTTTATCAGATCAATCTAAGTTGTTTTTCTTTCTTTCTTTTGTTGGGAGCAGAGACTCTTAAAAGATCGCAAACCCAAGCTCATAGTAAGTGCCATGTATGATATATCTCAATTGCTTGAGTGAAAGGATAGGAATGCTATTATTGGAGTTGGTGGTGTCGGTACGCTCTTACCAGGAAACAACTACCTTTTGGTTGTGCAGGAATGGGTTGAACTGCAGGAGTTTTCGCTAGGCTCATCCCCACCTAGATTGGGCCTTAATGGTACTCGCTGGGCAACTTCAGGTGATCAGGTGTTGCTTCAAGTCTCTCTGTTCTTATTTTCTGAAATGGTCTAGTTTCTATGTTAGCTTGTGGTTCCTAGCTGCTTCAGTTGATAATCAGCTATCATGTGCGGTGGACTGTGGATAAGCAGCTTTTAAGCACGAAAAGTACACCTCATTTCCAGTAGACAGCACAAATGTGCTTAGAGCCTTAGATTCCTACCAGTGGCCGTAATTTTGAGTCTCTCTCAAACTCAACTGATCTTCTTGACCTGTCACTAATTTTGTTATTGTTTACATGTTGAACAGCTAGTCATGCACATGGGTTTTGATTGGGACACTCGTGACATGACCATCATGCTGTTGGCTAAACTCGCAAAGCCTTTGGGAACTGCTCGTATTGTTATTAACAGCCTGCAGATCAAGGGCGATGTAAGTAAATTTTATCATGATTTGTTGTGTGAAGGGTGTAAATATAGTCTCTTTGTTGACTTTTAATGTTTCTTACTTTTATTTGCTGGTTATGTGCTCTCTCTTTTTTGACTGCGGTCCATGCCACTTGTCCTATGGTTTCATCATACAGCTTCTCTTGATGCCAATTTTGGAAGGCAGAGCATTTCTTTACTCTTTTGTGTCAACTCCCGATGTAAGAATAGGAGTTGCTTTCGGAAGTGGGGGAAGCCAAAATCTACCTGCCACTGAGCTTCCCGGGGTTTCCTCTTGGCTGGTATGTCCGTCACAATACGAATATGTACTTTCTCCCAAGAATTGAGAGTTTGGTAATATGGCTTGGTCTATGATTTTCTAAACCCTCAGCTTTATTCTTCTTATTCTAAGTCTTTCTTTTGTCTCTAAAATAGGTCAAACTTTGCTCTGACACCTTAGATAAAACAATGGTTGAGCCTCGACGTCGATGTTTCTCCTTACCGGCTGTGGACTTGAGAAAGAAGGTTGTTGGTGGGATTGTACATGTAACGGTTGTTTCAGCTAGTAAAATTTCTAGGGCTAGTTTCAAGGGAAGTCCAACAAGAAAGCTGGAACAGAGTTCAGAAGAGGGTGTTAATGATAAAGATTACCAGACATTTGTGGAAGTCGAGCTTGGTCAATTAACACGGAAGACAAATGTACGGCCAGGCTCAAGTCCTAAATGGAATTCGACTTTCAACATGGTGCTACATGAAGAAACTGGAATGTTGCGGTTCAATCTTTGCAACTGTAACCCTGGCAGTGTGAAGTATGACTATCTAGCAAGTTGTGAGATCAAGGTAGGGTCTTTGTGTTTCACATTGTACAGCATGAGCAAATAACTGGTGCATTTGTGTAGTATTTCTATTTCTATGCTATTTTTTTGGATCGGTGTTTCTATGCAATTGTTAATCATGCTTCTATTCCATGCTGTCATAGATATGTAGGAAGTGAAATTACTATATGTCATCATTGACTTTGCTGCTAGTTTGTCTCAGTAAATATATGCTTCGACTTCAATCTCTACACTAATTAGTAGGGGTCATATTTTCTACTGGTAATATCAGTTATATGTTCTTCCTCTCTTCTTTATTTTTGTTTTTGCCCTTTTTGAGCAGATGAAGTATGTTGCAGATGATTCAACAGTTTTTTGGGCAATAGGGCCTGACTCTAATATAATTGCGAAGCATGCTGAGTTCAGCGGAAGAGAAGTCGAAATGATTGTTCCATTCGAAGGGCCAAACTTTGGGGAGGTGCAATATGCAGAAAACCATTTTTACTTACTCATTGTGCTACTTTATCATCTGATGATTTTGACTTGTTCATTTCTGCAGTTGGCTGTGACGCTTGTGGTAAAGGAATGGCAATTCTCGGACGGTACACACAGCCTGAACAAGTACAAAAGCAGCTCTCAACAATCTGTGGATGGATCATCGATTCTTCCATCAAGAACTGGACGAAAGATCAATGTAACGGTTGTGGAAGGACAAGATTTAACTGTCAAAGAAAGATCTGGCAAGTGTAACCCATATGTCAAGTTGCAGTATGGAAAGGTATCAAATTCACATGAAGACCTTATATATGTAATATGCTTAATTGCTATGGTTTCTGAAATTTGTTCCTCCGGCGACGCTCTTACTTTTTTCAGGCAGTCCAGAAGACCAAGACTTCAGACTCTCCCAACCCTACCTGGAACCAAAAGTTTGAATTTGAAGAGATTGGAGGAGATGAATACCTTAAGATCAAAAGCTATACCGAAGAAGTGTTTGGAGATGAAAGCATCGGTAGTGCAAGGGTAAATTTGGAAGCTTTAGTTGAGGGTTCAATAAGGGATGCATGGATTCCTCTGGAGAAAGTAAACTCAGGAGAACTGCGGCTTCAGATAGAAGCAGTGAAAGTTGATGAGGATGATGGGTCAAAGGTACTTTCTTGGATTCAAGCTCATAACTTTCTTGAAGTCAAGGGATAACATTTCTCCGGTATTTTTCCAGAGCATGACATCAAGTTCACCTGTTGGCTGGATTGAACTTGAAATCATTGAAGGGAGGGACCTTATTGCTGCCGATCTTAGAGGGACAAGTGATCCATACGTTAGGGTGCAATATGGAAACTTGAAGAGGCGGACAAAGGTGAGCTGACATAATATGTTAAGGATCTTTGAATTCCATTTCTGGGCTGTGAAGTTTACCTAGATGGGTGCTCACCAACTTCATTTGCATCTTCACCTGATATAATTTCCCCCCATCTAAAGGTAGTCTTCAAAACTCTCACTCCACAATGGAACCAGACGTTAGAGTTTCCTGATGATGGCAGTCCCTTGGAGTTGCATGTCAAAGACCACAATGCCTTGCTACCTGGATCCAGTATAGGTGACTGTGTTGTAGAGTATCAAAGGTTGCCTCCAAACCAAACTTTCGACAAGTGGATACCTCTGCAAGGCGTGAAAAGAGGCGAGATACACATTCGAGTCACCAGGCGAGTCCCTGAACAACCAAAGAGAACTAGTTCGGATTCCGAAGGCTATTTGAGCAACTCTCATCAAATTACAGGCCAGGTAAAAAAAGTCGAGCAATTACTCGCAGCTTTGTCCTCGTGCACCCTTTTGCTCATTCTATCTGTGTTTGTTGATCAGTTGAAGCAGATGATGGGCAAGCTCAAATCTTCTGTCGAAGGTGGGAATCTTGATGCAGTTTCATTAGCTTTGAGTGAGATGGAAAGTGTAGCAGAGGCTCAAGAAGAGTACATGGTGCAGCTCGAGACCGAGCAAATACTTCTGCTTAACAAGATAAAAGAGCTTGGTGAAGAAATCATCAACGCTCCACCAGTCTTGGAAAGAAGATCCTCTTCTGCAATATAACATCCTCTACTTTTCCTCCATTATACAGGCCGTCATTAGATATTGAAAGAGCAAATTTGTATCAAACCAGTAGCAGTACAGTGATTGAATATATTAACTCCAAAAAGGCAAAAACTCTTGCTTTTGGCGGGAATGATATCATATCAGATGTCACCATTAATTTCTGTTTCTTTTCTTGTTTGACGTGTCTATCAAGTAACCTTGGGTTGAAGACTTGAAGTCGAATTAAAACTTAATTGAAAGACATTGGAAACTATGGTGACTAAGTTAGTACCAAAGCAAAGTTGGCTGACTGAGTATAGACGTTTTCTAACAGGAAAGAAAAAGAAAAAGAATACCAATATCTGTAGACTGTAGCATTCGGCGTTATCCGTCTCCGCCAACTGAAACAGATTCCTTCCTCACAACCCTTCTTCTCTCCTGGAAGGCTTCTGAATGAAGGGAATGGAGATAGATGACAGATAACCACTCTCCGACCTTTCTGATACTTTGATGAAATCTCCTTTTCGGCATGCGTATCTGGCAATCTGAATATTACGGGAGGATCCTTTCTTCTAACGGTTAGCCTTTACATCCCACCCCACCCTTGAGATTTCTCGGATTTCTTCGACTACTGATCTTACTGATGATTTCGATCATTGTTACAGGAGAGATTGGCTGCCACTATATTCAGCTGCCTAGCATAACCCTACCTCACGTTTCTACATGGACTGACGTGAAGTGCATGGGCTGAGAGGGCTTTTAATGCAACAGGCCCATCTAATCAAGCACTATACTACGTAAATATACAGACTAATTACAAGACAATATTTAACAGTCTCCCTTGCGGTCTCAACATTAATCTCCCTGGGCAGGCTACCAGTTCAACCGTCGTTCCACCACGGGGTACTACATCGAGTTGGGTGGCACTCCGGTCTCTTGGCGCGCTAAGAAGCAATGAGTGGTTGCTCGGTCATTTGTTGAATCTAAGTATCGCGCTATGGCCAGCACCACTAGTGAGGTTCTCTGGCTTCGTTTCCTCCTCCGTGAGTTACAGGTCCCGCAGCTTGCTCCTACACCTCTCTGTTGTGATAATCAGGCGGCTCTTCACATTGCTGTTAATCCGGTTTTTCATGAGCGGACCAAACACGTCGAGATGGATTGTTACTTTGTTCGCGAGCACGTCTCTTCCGGTGACATCTCCCCGCGCAAGGTTAGCACCCACTCGCAGCTTGTTGACATCTTCATGAAGGCACTAGACACTGAACAGTTCCACACTCTTTTGTCCAAACTTGGCATTCATGATCTTCATGCTCCAAATTGAGGGTGAGTATTGGACCTATTTGTACAGTCTATTTATTATGGGACTTTTCCTGTAATTCTCCTTATACACATGTTTACTGTTGCGGGTATAAGAGGAGTACTTTGTAGCTGAACAAGCCCTAAGAGTGAAAGGGTTCAACAGCCAAAACACTAAATCTAAACATCATCATTAGTGATCGTTGATGAGCTCCAAGCTCATCACCGTGGAGTAGTCCCGATATTCGCGAAAACCACGTAAACTTCGCGTGCACTTTATCTTCCACGTTTTACTTATTTACAGGTGAAGAAGAAGCTGGAGCCGGTGGCGGAGGAGGAAGCCAGCGAGAGCTCGGAGTTGTAGGAGGGTGTGGCGTCGGATTGGACGAAGATGGCAGCTGCAGCCCTGGGAGTTGCTGGAAGGTATTGGGTTTGCGTTGGCCGTGGTTTGGGGCAGTACCGTGGAAAACTTAGTGATCAGAACACTGAATCATCATCGGTGGAATCCTGATTTTGATGGTCAGTGTGAAGCTCCATTTGGCTCCAGTGGACAACTCTCTCTCTCTCTATATATATCTATCTATGTAGCCGGTTATTATCTGCGTGCTATAAGACTGACTGACAGCAACGTTGACTTTTCAGTTATCATCAACTTGCAAGGAAGTAGCCTCTCTGTTTGCTAATAATTAATAATTAAATAAATATGCAATTACTACATTATCATTCATTAAATGAGATCAATTACAACCATTAGATTTTAATGAGTCTCAACGGCTGAAATTGACTTAGTCATCTGACTAAGGGACCCCGTTAGTCACCTAATTTTAGCCAGCTTGTTTGGTAAGCGGTTTATATTTTGATTCCTGGATATCAATTTAGTCTTTTGATTCATTGACAAAAAGTCAATTTAATCCATATAATTAGATCATTTAAATTCTTCAATTCTAAGGTTAGTTTTGAATGTATAATGAATCATTTTTTTGAATATTAATATTGGTAGACATTTGCCATTAGTTATTAAAATTGTTTACGCCACACAATTTGAAATGAGTTAGTAACTTGCTGTAGCTTTATGATATATATTGAATTTAATCTAATCACCTAATTCTTCAGATAATTAATCTATAAACCATCTGCTACCTTTTTGTTTTGGCTGTAACTTCTTAAACACAGGCATGAAAGCTCTACAAGCTGGAAAGATATTGGAGTTAGTGGATCCGAGCCTTGGTATCTGTTACAAGAATCTGCAGATGATAGGCCTAACATGAACTCGATTCATCTCATGCTCTCCAGCAACTCGTTTACTTTGCCAGTACTCGGTCAACTTCCACTCGTATTTTTTAATAAGAGTGATATAAGTTACTTTTTTGTTATTAGGTACTATTGAAGGGACTCGAACCTGGGACCTCCAGGTTCATGGCTAGTGGTATTACCACTAGACCAATCCCTTGTTCGTGTCAACTTCCACTCGTTTATTTTGCCAGCACCCAGTCAAGCTGGACATATACCACCAGTGGCAGCATTTCTGCTTTGACAAACACTAATCCCCCTAGCACTACAGAATCCAGTGTTAGCAGAAGTTCTAGAGGGGAGCAGTTCCTGTAAGTAACCTACCGGTGAGTAACCGCCCGATCCGCCGTCCATTGCAATCCATTAATAACCGTCAGATGTAGAATAACAAATACACGTAGGGGTAAAATAGTAACTGACCTTCTGACAATTTGAAAAATGTAATCGAGCCTTCCCCGCCATCATTATCACCAACTCTGCAAAAACAGAAAAATCACAGACGGTTCGAGTTCTATCTCTGCTTTTTCCCTCTGCATTTACGCTATCCATTCTCTCACTCTCTCTCTCTCTCTCTCTCTCTCTCTCTCTCTCTCTCTCTCTCTCTCTCTCTCTCTCTCTCTCTCTCTCGCGTTTCATCTTCGCAAACTGCACCATCGAAGTCGAATCTCGAATTTTCAGTTCGCTTAGCAAAGGATACCGATCTCAGTTCTTCAGCGATCAAGTAAGGGTTTCCACTTCGACGTCTTCAGCGATCAAGTGAGGGTTTCCACTTCGACGTCTTCAGCGACAAAATTAGGGTTTCCAACTTTGACGTCTTCAACGATCAAGGTAAATCATCACTTTTTTCTTCAAAAACTAGATTCGTGATTCTGAATGTCTAATTTCAAGTACATACTTCACAAATACCAAACGAAAAACTCTACTATGCTTGATGTTTTCACAATACCACAATGGTACCATGTGGTATTCTAAGGGGGAAAAGTTCTAGCAGTGGTCAAAGTACTTACAGTGAAATACATTTTATAGAAACGTATATAAACGACAACAAAACCTATTCCATACTCTGATTTTTTTACAATACCACACTGGTACCATATGGTATTATAAGGAGAAACCGTTCCAGTAGTGTTCAAAGTAAGAATGAAAAAGATTTTATAGGAAAAGTATAAAAACCTATTCTATGCTCTGATTTTCTTACAATACCACACTGGTACCATATGGTATTCTAAGGAGAAACCACCCACGTACTGGTCAAAGTACTTACAGTGGTATGGTATGGTATGGTATGGTATGGTATGGTATGGTATGGTATGGTATGGTATGGTATGGTATGGTATGGCATGGTATGGTATGGTAGTTGGTGTTTTTGCTTACTGGTAGAATATGGTATGGTATGGTATGATATGGTACTTGGTGTTTTTGCTTACTGGTAGAATATGGTATGGTATGGTATGGTATGGTACTTGGTGTTTTTGCTTACTGGTAGAATATGGTATGGTATGGTATGGTAGTTGGTGTTTTTGCTTACTGGTAGAATATGGTATGGTATGGTATGGTATGGTATGGTATGGTATGGTATGGTATGGTATGGTATGGTATGGTATGGTATGGTATGGTATGGTATGGTATAGCAATTCTTATATTCTGGATGCAGGTACATCATGTCGAGACATAGGGAGGATTTTCGCACAAGGTGTAGCCCAACAAGAATCAACACACTTTCAAGAACATTAACACCTGAACAGAGGGCAAAATTGTAGGAATTAGGCCTTGATGGTTTAACATCCATCCAACAAACAAAGATAAACAAGAACTTTGCTCTATTCACAATGAACAAGTACAATCCAATAAAGAAAGCATTCAAGCTGCCTGGTGGAAACTACATGAAGATATCACCAATTGACTTTCATAGAGTTTATGGTCTACCAATGGGTAAAAAGGAAGTGACGCTCAAGAAATTATCAGTGGAAAAGCAGTAGACTATGCGTTGCAGGTCCTACTAGAACTAGAAGCTCCAGCTACAAATGGAAGAGTGAAATTAGCTAATGTAGAGCATGACGTTTCTAATGCTCATACCATTGAAATATGGATCAAGCTGTTGTGGATTCTGGTTACGGGAGCTCTACTATGCCCATATTCAAACCCTACTGCTGAGTTGAATGTGCTGGAGTACTTGCAGACAGACAAAATCAAGCATTTCAAAGAATACAATTGGTGCAAGTTCTTCTTCGACTATATGAATGAGGGGTTGAAATAAAAAACCCTGTACGTCAATGCAGATCTTCATTTCTTAACAGTAAGTATCTATACCCTCAATAATTTCATTTCAATTAGTATACCCTAAAGCTTTACAAATCCTAGTACATCAATACTAATACAACTGTTTCTCCTTCCCACAAACAAATAAAAGGTATGCTTCATGTACAAGTTGGATGAAATGGCCTTCTCCACCCAGTTGCAAATCCCAACAACAAACTACTATGATGACACTGCTGCGCAAAGAAACTATGAAAACATAGTGAGCTACTATGGTGGAGAAGAACCTCATGAGCTCATGAAGATACATGATAAAGAAGAGAAGATCGTTGACATCAACAGTGATGATGATGACAACAACACAGACCAACAACCATCAGCATCACTCATATTTGATTTGA